TAGCTTCCACTCCCTCCCCTTTATGATGCTATTAAAAGGTATATCAGAAATAATGTGACAGAATTTTTAATCAGACAACAGCCATGACTAGCTTCCACTCCCTCCCCTTTATGATGCTATTAAAATATAAATCAGAATCCTTGTTTCAGCGTGCTTTAAAGCTGTTTGCAATACAAGTTAGAAGAAAATTGTCGAGCAACAATTTTAAAAGGCATGATTTTTAGGTTCGGTGCATACTTCGAAACCATGTTCTTATTTTGAAGGCATGCTTTAACTGAAAAAGTTGTTTGTCATTGACCGTTTAAATGTACTTAAAATCACTGTCATGTTTTACATAATAATGTGTGGTATTAATGTCATTATTAGAATTAATGCTTCTAACTCCAAGCTGTTCGTGCAGAAATTAACTAGATATTTTTTGTACCTAATTCCTGCTTATATAAAGATAAAAATAGCAAATAACCTAAAACTTGTGTTCTCTATTTAGACTTTAGATTTAAAAAAACCAAAAAAAAAACAACAGATATACTAAAATGTTAGTGTAGGTCAAAAGGAACCAATTTTACTGAACAAATGTGAAAAAAAATAATAAAATTTCCATTTTTTGGAGACTGAACTTGTGTTTTTTACTGTAGAAAAAAGTATTGAACATAATTGATATTTTAAACAAAGCAACAGAATTTCTTAAAGGCTAAAAATCGCTAATAATATGATTACAATTTCTGTTTGTTTAGTGTTTTTTTCTTATTATTTAATTAATCGTTTAGACGCCGACTTTAAACAAAGGATGGGTGAAGAGCTTCAGATAGACTATTTGAAAAACCGTTTTCAGAAAGTAGTAAAAAAAAACAGATGGGTCCCCGTATCTAATACTGGGCATGCAGCACCCGCTTCGGCGTTTCCGTAAACTTCGATAAATTTAAGATTCCCCTAACTTCGATATACGTTTTGGTCGAAAATAATGACTTATTGTTAACAAAATTCTAAAATGAATTTGACAGTTGAAAAGTCGAATAGAAAAGATAAAGAGAGCAAGGTAAAAAAATAAAAAATAGAAGGTCACATAAGCTGGTCATTAAACTGCTTATTTTCTCATACATTTTGCTAAAGTCTTTTTTTTTGTGTGTGTATTTGATATCGTATCTTGACCCTCGTTACTTCAAAATATGTCCAAATTATCACTCTAATTGTACATTTTTTTTTACGAAGAAACATGCTTTCGGACTTACCTACTTCTGTTTATTTTCTATTTGTTTGTTTTTTTAAATTTCGCGCAAAGACACACGAAAGGTTGTCTATACATAGTCGTTCCTAATGCTGAACAAGCGGGAAAACAGCACCTGCAGTCGACTCTTTGGCTACTCTTGTCTGGCAGTATGGTGGGAATCAATCATCGCTCGTTTAGAAATTTAATGGCCTCAAAGTGCGGAGTGCGTTTTTCAGCCGTGAATCCCCGCACTAACAATATGGTATACGCTAGCCATTAATCCGCGCCCGGACCAAGCTCTTCTCTAACAAAGTTATCTCACTTTCACTCCCCCACCCCCACACGCACACACATTTTGGTTCCTACAATTATGGATAAAAGTTATAAAGTAGACCTCTATACATATTTAATGGAAAAATGAAAAACAAAATTAATCTCTTCTTTTGTTTTAAATTTATTTAGCTGTAAGGGAAAGGTGGCGCAGCATACGATTTTAATTTTCTAGAAGGCAGCATAACTGAAGTGGCTATACTTTTATAAAAAACACAAATCTTGGTTTGGGTCGCACGACTCGGGTACTAGAAATTTACATGGCTGTTCAAACACGGTAAGACTTGTTTTTGATCGCAATTTAGATTTATTAATACTTTCCTAATGAACGCTTATTGTATTTTAGTAACTGGTAGACTTTTTTAGGCATAGGTTGAGGCATTAACTGAAATAAAATGTTAGTTCAGGTCTTTGCCATTTTCTTTAAATCCATGCTCAAGTGAAAAAGGAGAAGAAAAAAAGTATTTTTCAACCCGGCATGCTAACTATTAGGCTACGCCTAGGGTGCCGCCAAATCCTATCCTTCTTTACTTCACTATACGCTACGTTTTATACCACGTCCAAATTATTATATGTCGTAATTTAATTAATTTTTTCTTCTCAGGCCAGAGTCGAACCTCCAACGCTCAAAGCGAGTGCTCTAACACTATAGTGCTCGTTAGTAAAGCACGTTTTACAATTCAAAGTAACATAAATTATTCCTTTTCTTCCTAATTTTGAAAACAACAGGAGGAAAATAAACTAATCTATCTAATTGGACGATCTCCGTTATTACCATCCCATAGAGAATGAAAACAGTACATGCTTCATTAGAATAATTGTAGTGAATCCACACAGAATAACATGTTTCTTTCTGTATCTACTTTCTGCGTGGTATGCCTACCCACTGATTCTAGCAAAATAGATCTTTTTTTTTCTTTCGGATTTTCCATAATTCCACTTATAATTTACGACAAGAGATAGTTTTTTCTAGAGGGCGCTTTTCTTGTTGCATTCTTCACTTGTGACTTGGCATACAAGATTTTACTTAAACACGTTGAGAAATTGATATATTGGGATAATTATATGGGTAAATTGCACAGTATTAAAGTATAGACTGTTCAATCAAGAAAAGAGAACCAGTATGTTGTCATATCCCATATCTTAGACTAAACGTCTGGAATGTTTAGAAGCTTTAAGGGTTTAACATTATTCGTGTTAAGACATTTGGTACTCTTGATAGAAATACAGACTGTTGATTAGCCTAAACTCCTAATACACCAACTTAGATATTTCTCGGTTTTCCTGTAAAACGCTGAATGAGAAAGTAGCTGATCTTCTTTCTTTAACAAACTTAATTTTATTCTTGTTGTTCTCGTATTCCTAGCGCAAAGCTACACAATGAGCTATTGAACTCTATTTACTGCGGGGGGATCGAACCCCAGATTTTAGTGTTGTAAGTCCGTAAACTTATCAGTGACCCACCGTGTGACCTTAATTTTGTAAATATGTATGGCTGCACGACACAAACGTTTGGCAGTGGACGATAATTCTTACGTTATTTTTGATCCAGATTGACCAACATAACACAGATTAATACTGTCTATATAGTGAAATACGGTGTTATTAGAGTGGCTAACATACACGATGTTGTAAAGATTTATTTGCATTCTCCTATTTCAAGTAAAGTCGTGCCAGTGCAAACATTAATAATAAGACAAAAAAGTGTTTCAGTTATTGGGTGTACATTTGACTTTATTGCGTGAATCGTTGTTTAGCTTATTTCGAAAGCTAACATACAGATTTACTGCTATAACAAAGTCAACAATCATAGTTACTTACGTTGAGAGCTGTTAGAAAATCAGCAAATTTTCCAATAAACACGATAAAAGAACGCGCTAGTTAAGACTCGTACATCGCCCTACTCGAGTAAGTGATTATTTAGAAAGACATTGGTTTTGATAAAATTCAACAATATTTACTTTTCTACTCAAGTGTTTAAACTCTCCTAAAGTTCGCGATCTAGACTATAGGAGGTTTAAAAGGCACAAACATTTTTTATCAGTAATAATGATGATCCGCTCCCATTAAATAGCACGATCTTGAATCACATTTCAGGCCTGTAAGAATTATCAAGTCTCATTTACTTTGAACGTGTCTAGCTTTGCCTATCAGAATCACCAAGACACGTCTACTTTGAACGTGTCTAGCTTGGCCTATCAGAATCACCAAGACTCGTTTACTTTGAGCATGTCTAGTTTGGCCTATCAAAATCATCAAGACTCGTTTAATTTAAACGTGTCTAGTTTGACCTATAAGAATAATCAGGACTCATTTACTTTGAACGTGTCTAGCTTGACCTATCAGAATCTCCAAGACACGTTTACTTTGAACGTGTCTAGCTTGGCCTATCAGAATAATCAATACTCGTTTACTTTGAGCATGTCTAGTTTGGCCTATCAGGATCACCAAGACTCGTTTAATTTGAACGTGTCTAGCTTGGCCTATCAGAATCATCAATATTCGCTTACCTTGAATGTGTCTAACATGGCCTATCAGAATCACCAAGACACGTTTACTTTGAACGTGTCTAGCTTGGCCTATCAGCATAATCAAGACTCATTTACTTTGAACGTGTCTTGCTTGACCTATCAGAATCACCAAGACTCATTTACTTTGAACTTGTCTAGCTTGGCCTATAAAAATAATCAAGACTTGTTTACTTTGAACGTGTTTAACTTCACCTATCAGAATCACCAAGACTCGTTTACTTTGAACGTGTCTAGCTTGGCCTATCAGAATCATCAAGATTCGCTTACCTTGAACGTATCTAACATGGCCTATCAGAATCACCAAGACTCGTTTACTTTGAACGTGTCTAGCTTGGCCTATCAGAATCACAATACTTGTTAACTTTGAACGTCTCTAGCGAGGCCTATTAGAATCACCAAGACCCTTTACTATGAACGTCTCTAGCTTGGCCTATTAGAATCACCAAGACACGTTCACTTTGAACATGTCTAGCTTGGCCTATCAGAATCATCAAGATTCGCTTACCTTGAACGTGTCTAACATGGCCTATCAGAATCACCAAGACTCGTTTACCTTGAACGTTTCTAGCTTGGCCTATCAGAATCACCAAGACCCTTTACTATGAACGTCTCTATCTTGGCCTATTAGAATCACCAAGACCCATTTACTATGAACGTTTCTAGCTTGGCCTATCAGAATCACCAAGACCCTTTACTTGGCATCTTTACATGGAAATGCCACACTCAGCCAAGCGTCTGAATCGGTATTTAGTTGTTATGCGCGACATGGGAGGGTCAGGTTCAGTTAAGACCTTTTCCTCCTACCACACTCAGATGAGTGCTTAGTATTAACCCCCAAACTATATACTTTTGTTTGATTGGTCACTACTGGTAGGGGTCCACATATTTTATCAGATTAATTAATTTTATGTTTTTACCTGTTACATCACTCATTGTAAAGAACTGACAAACATATTGGATGAAATCACGCATTTTCTATGTAAAATACAGTGGGGACTTCAGTAGTAATTGTTGGGATTAATTGCATTATTAGAGGTATTTTTGTTTACATTGTTTTGTGTGACTAACATTATTGAGGACCCTGTAACCAAGAAAGTCATGGGCTCATCAGCAAATTGGTGTTTGAATATTGTGTTTAAACAGTTGAAAGGATCCATATGTTCGACAATTCTAAATGTGTACAAAAAGTATTCCTCGAAAAAAAAGGGGGCTGAAAAGTATAATTAAAACAAGAAATTAGGTGGACCTTCACTAAAGTCTCAAATATTCGTTCTAGTTTTTGTATTTCGAGAATTTTGTATGTTTATAAATATGCACCTCTTCGTTTAGGATTGATTTTCCCACTTGAAGTAATATAAAAAGATCGTCCATCTTTAGGTATTTTACAAGACACTTCTTCAGTCATCTACAAGCCTTCAATAATCATGTTGTTTTCTCATGTTTCATACCGAGCTGCTTTTCTACCAATGCAAACTCGCTCTTATCTCTAGTTACAAGGTTTACGACGATACAACTAAAAGAGAAATATTCGAAGATGGGCCTT